AGAGAAAATATTGAGACTACTTTTTAAAAAAAATGAATGAACTTGGAAATTTTCAACCCCATATAAGTAGCCCACATTTTATTTTAAATACTTGATTAGCAAACATAATTTCAAGTAGTTTATAAGCAAATAATGTCTATTGGAGATATATTATGCTAGAACCTTAGGACAAAGTTTCTACTGAATTGCCTTTAAATGTTTATCAATTTAAATAATCTATTTATTATAGTATATGTACTGGACTCATGATTTTGGTGTTACCGTATTTGTATTATGTAATATAATTTAATTGTTTACAGGTTCTAATCTAATCTAAATGATTTAGCCTTTACTCTATTAGGTGGACAGCCAGTATTTAGATATCAGCAAATTCCTACCAGGTAAATTGAGCGCTTCCAAACAATCTTAGTCTCTCACTTAGTCATAATGATAGGTTATCCTTTGGTCTCACATTCATTTTTTCTTCATCCAATCTGTTGAGTTTTTCAAAATCCAAGTCTGATAATGCCACTATTCACCCACCACCCACTTAAATTATTTTTAATTGCTCAAGGGAAAAAAAATTATCATGGCCTAGATTGTAGACAGCCTCACATGGTTTGTTAATCTTCTGTCTCTCCACTGCCATCTGCCCCTAACTACAGATCTGAAGGAATTAGTTTTCCAAGTTTAAGAGACCAGGATAACAAGAAAGCTAAGACCCAGAAATCTCTCCTATCACATTATAGACATGCCATACAGAAGTCTACTATAGGTACAGATTAGAAGATGCTCACCCCTTTCAATCTATGATCTCCAGGCCAGGGACAAGTATATCTCAGAGTGTACTTGGGAATCTACAAGCCCATATTTGTCCCCAAGAGGCCTAGCAGTCTGGCTTGGGGTCATTCTTTTGCCCTGAACAATGGATAATTTATGATCTAGGGCTTTAGTCTCTGTTGCCAGCACTTGGCTAGGTTGAAACAATAGCTGTGGCAAGGAGGTTATGTTTGTTGTTTGAAGCTTGTTGAAACTAAATATCAACAACAGCAACAGTTCTGATCTGGTCACATTTTCAGAGCCAAGAGAACCTGTAGCAGCCCTGTAGATGTGCTGCTCAGATCCCTTTCAGAAGACAGTCTCCAGCTGCCACTTTGGATTGACCCAAATAGATCCTGCTGTGTTCATCCTGGGCGCGCGCACACACACACACACACACACACACACACACACACACCAGATGTCACCTGCCAATGCTTGAGCATGGTGAGGAGCACTAGAGCCAGGTTATTCTTCAGTGACATGGGAGTCCTCCAATGGGCATTCCTTGCTAGGAGACTAACCATTAGCCCAGCCAAGACGTTTTTTCAGAATGGTGCTACAGTCTGAGACTCTTCCTATCCAATCTTTCTTCTCTTTCTCCTTTCCAGGTTGTCAGGCCTGCTTTTCCATCTGAAGACTCTCCTCTGCGCTCCACCTAACCCATTAGGCTCATTTTCCCCTTTCTCACCTATAGTCACTCCCTGCCCCTTTTCTCCTGCAACTAATATTGATTCTGGCGTTTATTTCTCAGGAAATCTGAAATGATTTATCCCTTCAAAGGACCCCTGAAAATAAAGATGCATTTGAAAGGATGCAATATTCCTAAAGGAAAAGGTATGTTATTCCATGTATGAATCATAAAAATATCTCTCCTAAATGTGGTTGATAAGAGAAGAAAGAACTTAAGACAACTGAGATATGTCTCAGAGGAGATGCTCTTACTTTGAAGATCATTACTTAAAAGCTGTTGATGTTGACTTGGGTGAAAAAAGGAACTAAACTGCTATTTGTTAAAATTCAGAAAGTGTGTGACAGTCTCCTTTCAAGGACAGACCTATGAAGGAGATGTGGCAAAAGTGGGCAGGGCAGAGGAATAGGCCTTGAATTTGACATTAAAGTCAGCCACATTTTTGCTTGAATTTGTGTCTCCTTTAATTTTAAGTGCTGTCTTTGCACTAACAGACTAACTTCTCTGAATCTTAATCTCCTCAACTATACAATGATTATTGAGCTTCATCTTGAAGGGTTTAGTTATAAAATGAAAGGTCTGGTTCTAATTAAAACATAATAGGTATTATTTTCGCCTCCTGCACTACAGAGCTTCCTCCACCTCCCGCATCTATGAAGCCCAGCAGAGCAGGGAAGGAAAAGGTGGCTACCACTTATTCATATGCAGTGTACAAGATGCCCTCAAGCTGGAAAGCTAAGTGCATTCCCCTTTATCACAGCTCCAGTCTTTACTCATATGATCTCACAGTCTGATGTCAGCTCAAGCTTTTCCAAATTCCGCCTCATTTCCTCACCCTCTCTCCATATCTAAACTATACAGTCTCTTCCTCTTTATCATTCCTGAATCATCCTTGTGTCTCCAAGTATCTTGCCAACACATGCATTTTCTTCTTACTGACTTAAGAAGAAACTCCTTCTCCTAATTCTACAGCTTCAAATAAAGCCATTTCTGCTCATTTGATTCATAACATACCAATTAGATAATCTCTCTATTTCTTACTACTTCAATAAAATGTATTTCCCTCTGATCAGTAAGATCAACCACTAGGTACCCAATGAAAGGATTAAAAATATGATGCTTTGAGAAGCCATCAGACTGACTGATTTAGCATACTAGTATAGCAAATGGTACTTGTCTACTACCAATTAAAGGGAATTTGGATGAGTTGTGATAGATGCTTATGAGTCACAGATCTCTGAGCTTGCAAGGAGTTATTCTGTCCGGGCAGAGAGTTTACGGGGGAAGTTTCTGGCTTCCATCCTGAAGTTCAACAGAGAAGCAGCTCCCCATCACCTGCCTCACCTCCATCCTGAAGGTTTTTCTGACTCTTCCCATTTTATAGCTTCCTCTGCCACAAGAGATCATGCATCTATTAACCATGTTTTATAAATATTTTCTGCTTCTTTTCCCCCCTGCATCTCTATGGCATTGTTTAGCTAAGCTGGCATATTAATCTTCTAAGATGCAACAGACCAATCCTTGGCCCAATGAGACTGTTCAGGTACCAGTCACCTCTTTTCCTGGACCTGAGGCATGTCTTTTCCCCCTGGCATCTCTGGAAGTGCAGAATTCTGAGTTTTCTGGGATCTCAAGGACATTTGGTCAAAGGTTTCCCCCATGGTGTCATAATAGATGGAATCCTGGGCTGTCCACTTACAACATCCCATAGTACAGAGCAGGCTCCTTTATGAGGTAATTATTCTGATGATCAAGTAGAGAACTCAGGCAAGAGTAAATATCGAACCTGTAATTTTGTGTGAGAAACTAATTTGGGAATTGCATGCTTACTATAAAAGGTGAAAATGGGACCCAAGTGCCTCACCTCCTTCTCCCTTTGTGAGGAAAATATAGCACTAAATGAAGTCAGTCTGTGTTCCACAAACGCGCAGAGAGAAGGCTGTTGGAAATCACTGCAGGAAAATCAGTGACAGGAACAGGCACAGAAAGAGCACTAGATTAGAAGCCACTCAACCATAAGATCTGAATGTGCTTCCATGACTCAGTTTCCCTAACTTTATTATGAGGGACATGGGATGGAAGATCTCTAAGGACATGTTTGTCTCTAGAAAGCTCTTGTTTTGTGACACATGTCAAACGATTGAATGGTTACAGAGTGTAGAAATTTTAAGAAAGTCTATAAGTGAATAATAACAGCTTTATTTTTTTCTTGACCTTTTGGCACTCTTTCATTGCTTCAAAATCATTTCCAGGAAGGCTTGGAGTTATAAAGGAAAATGAATATCGTCAAAGCCACCTTCCTCTTCATCTTTTCCAACTGACTAATATCTCTCAAATATCACATGGACATTTCCCCCAAGACTTTCAATTTCAGTTTTTTTGATAAATGTGTATGTGCTTAAACTTCAGAAATATATTTAAAAATTAAAAAGACTTTTGTTCATATTTCTAGTTCTTCCTTTCTCTGATATGACAAACATCTGAAAATGTCAATAATATTACTAGTTCCAATTTTTATTAACTGAACTTGGAAGTTTATTAACATGCTAGTTAGAGGATGAGAAAGAGAAATCAAAATTATTTCAGGGGGACATAGTAATAATTTTTTTTTTTGAAATTGAAGTAAGGGAGAAAGAGGAATGGAGGAAGTAAGAAGTAATAGGGAACATAAAAGTGAAGAAATAAAAGCTAATTTAGAGGCCATCTACTCTATGAAACCTAAACCTTCCTCAAGGCTCCCCACTATCTTTTTCTTCATTTTGCTAACTTAGTACATAACATATTGTATATTGGTTTCCTATGTATTTTTCTTAAGTTGTCATGAGTACCTGGTGATCAAGAGAATCATATCCATTCATCTTTGTAAAACCAGTATATATTGTATTCCATAAATAAGTTTCGTAAGGTTTACATTTTCTGGTACTGCTCACATACATTAATTTCTAGGGTTCTCATCTCAAGGCTCTACAAATGTCTGCCTCCCTAGGGCCCTTTTACTTAAATTGCCAGTCAACAGGATTCACTAAATCCTCCAATGGTTGAGAAGACAAGGGGGCCAAAGAAGATGCAGCATACGTGTAGCCTCTTTAGGAAGCTCACAATTTAGAAGCTTAAGGATCAAATTCAAAAACATCTATGAAATTTTAACACTGTAAACATGAAGGCTGCTTATTGTTTTTCACTCCTTTTTCATTCCCTGGTCTACATAAAAATTTATTATCATTTTTATTTTTCAAAAATTCCTGGAATCATTTAATCATATTATCATCTCCCCAAACCCTATTTACTCTCCCTCCCTCCCTCCTTCCCTCCTTCCCTCCCTCCCTCCTTCCCTTCTTTCCTTTCTTCCTCCCTCCTTCCCTTCCTCTTCCCCCTCCCCCTCTCAACAGGGGGAATGTTTAAGATTTTCACCCCCCAACTCACCCAGTCCCCACCTCCTGCCAGAGGAGACCATAGGGTTTCAGAACAAGGAGAACTTCATCTACCCGCACAGCTGTGTGGAGACACTTACGTTGAAGTCGTACAACACACCAAAGTTCGCTGCCGACGCCTCTTCAGCTCTGGGAACCGTCTTTCTAGGTAAACTGCCATATGGCAAACCCCAGAGGTACTATATGGAGAAGCAAAGAAAGCAGTTAACAATTGGAAACAAAGTCTGAACCACACATGTGATCACAAATCGTTTTTGTTTAAAAGCACTTCTGAAGCCTTTTCATGAGGACTGTGGATCTCCATGTGGGGTCCCCTCTTCTGGAAATCTCCCATTAAACTCAGAATTACAAACAATGGGAGTGCTAAGGGCCCTGTGCTTTGAGTTCAGTGGACCACCAACAGTTGGGCAAACCACAGTTCCCAGAAGGCTACCCACACCACCTTCAAACTGGTCTGTCTCATTTGGGGAGGTCTGAAAAGGACAGTGTCATTTGAGGACTTTAGTGTTCTAGAAAACCAGACTACCCACATCTTCATGCAGATAGGCGTGGGAGAAGAATCTCTCCCTCATGCCAAGGAAGAGGGTTCTCAAAAGCAGCACTCAGAATTTGAGGGTGATAAGAGGGAAGATTGATTATGAACCTGCCTCGCCACTAATTCAGGATTACTCCCTGATGTGTGCTATCAGAGTAGAATAGGTTATTAGGGGCAGAGACAGCCAGTCAGGGAGTTAAGAGTAGTATCCTGTCAGGAGCTTTGGCTTGCAAAGCAGATGCTACTTCTTGTATGAGATGAAAGCTTCCCTTCCCTAGGGCTGGGGGTAGAGTTTGAATATGGATGGAAATCTGGGTGACTGGGTAAGGCTGGAAATCAGCCCCTACTCCCTTTTTCCACACAAGCTGCTCTGTTTCCATGGCAACCCTGCAGATCCTCTGACTTCCTGGGATAAACAGAACAGAGGGTAAGTTCTACCTGTTTTATCTCACCCCAAAGTGGGGACCACAGAGGACTGAAGAGATTAGGGTTTGCCCAGGGACACAGGAACTTTGGGCAAAAGGGCATATGCATCAGAGGAATACTGAGTAGGGCTGCTAGAAGGAGGCATCTGAGAAATGGAGTTTTGTCACCAGGAGGTGACCAGCCCTGGCCTCTGTGATTCTGTAAAGGTGGCATGAAGGATACCCATCCTCTTTTGTTCTTTCTCTGGAGTCGGTAATCATTGCCCAAAAATACAGGATGCCCCTCAGCATCTAACACAACCTGTAAAAAGCATCCCAAGCTTGCCCTGGCCAGAGTGGCTCAGTTGGATAAGCATCATCCTATGCACCAAGAAGTTGCCAGTTGATCCCTGGTCAGGATTGTGGGCTTGATCCCCAGTAGGTGGTGTGTAGGAGGCAGCTGACTGATATTTCTCTTTCTCATTGACAACTCTCTCTCTCTCTCTCTCTCTCTCTCCCTTTCTGCCTCTCTAAAATCAATTTTTTAGTAAAAAGCATCCAAAGCCAATATGCTTCCCAGTTCTAGGACTATACCCAGTTGAACACATATTAGCTCCCTCCACTGTATATTATCAGGGATTCTGCAATTTCATATAGTTGGAACAAATTAGCTTCAATCTTTCATTTCCTCCACATGGAGGCAGCATGGGGTGGGAGAAATAGTAAATTCTGCTGAAAACTCTTCATGGTTATATATAACCTGAGTCTGACACTAAGATGTATCACAGTAGCCCGTGGTAAAGTTTCAAGTTTCCTTAGAGAAATGAGCAAAAATAAAGCTGAGGTTAATCTGAAATAGATAAAATACAAACACATTCTGCTACATTCCTTGAAAGTTTTCTCCTTGGAGATGAACTGTACAGGAATTCTGATCTATTTCTACTGTTTTCTACAAGCCAAATAGCTATAGAACCCCCAGAATTACCTCAAGGATTATACAACTAATAGATTAGGGTACAAAATCTAAAGGGGAAAAAAAATCACTCTGGGATTAAAACCAACAGTAGTTAGCATATTAATGCAAAAAGACCCATTGGAAGGCCAATGGACTTTGATATTCAACAGGGCTGAAAATCAGCATAATATTGCCCTGCTGTGGGCTCAATGGCTGAAAGCAGTTCCCTAATCTGATAATTCTTTTACTGTTTACCAAACTTTACCTTTGATATCCCTCTATGCATTACTAAAGGGAAAATGTGTATTCAAGTGAATAAAAGCAGATGACACCCGGGTTTCCGTGTGCTCTTCATGAAAGAGACACCCCTGGCGCCCAGTGCCTTCTAAATTCATATTTCTTGTATTGCATCTTTGTTTGTACATCAGCCCTTTCTTCAGATCCTGAATCCTAGCTGTAAAACGTTGCGACACTGGAATGCTAGCTAAATCCATTAAGCATTGTGGACTCAATTTTCACATTTTTTAAATGGGAGAACAAAAAATCTTTTATAGTCTACCACATAAATTTTTTGTGAGGCTCATTAAGCATAAGAAATAAAAGTGTCTTACACTTATAAAAAGCAAAGAACTCAATGAATGTAAGGCACTATGAGTATGATTATGCTAATGGAGGCCAGATACTGAAATGGACTCTGATTTGAAACCATGGGGATAAAAATTTTTAACACCAAGTTTTGGCTGTTTTCAATGCTGTACTGAACAAATTGGTTTTGAAATATTGGTACCTACAAAGACCCTTTGCAGATTAAATAAAGCCCAGCTCAATTTATGTATAGTAAACATCCAAAGAGATCTTTGAGTCATTTAACTTCACCTGGGTGAAAGACCCCAACCTCACTCTTGCTTCTTGGCCTTAGCTAATTCTCCCCACATCAGCTCAGGGCTTTTCCTTCATCTTCAATCTGTTTTATTCTCCTCTCTGACCTTGGTCCAAAGGGTCTCCACCTGTGTGTGTGTGTGTGTGTGTGTGTGTGTGTGTGTGTGTGTGTGTGTGTGTGTGTGTCTGTGTGTGTCTGTGTGTGTGTGGATTATCTTACTTTGGAAGAAATTTACTCATTTATGTTTCTTTAGTATAGAAAAGCTGGATGCCTTGAGTTGCATTCAGAAGCATTTCTTTCCACGCAAACTTGGCAACAAAGCCTTCCTCTTTCTTCCCTTTGGGCCCGGGGACCACCTTGGGAATCTGACAAAGCCATAAACCGTTTCCCATAATAATGTACATATAAACATACACGTGACATTTTACAAATGACTTCAGGAGGTTCAGACACCCTTTAGAGCAAGGATGTCTTAGGACTTTTGGTCCATGGGCACCATTTTGAAGACTAATTTTGCCACAAATACTATGACTCTAAGGGTAGAATAACCAGACCTCTTTGGGATGCTTACCATCTACTGGAAGAATATGCATTCTACTCTTACAGAAAAAGGAGCTTTTCTAAGAGGTGATCACATGGGAAACCTGTGGCAGTGTGTTGTGTAAACTAGAATCAGAGTCTTACCTCTGGCAACATGATGAGGCTAAATGTCAGAACGAAGAGAACCATATTTACTCCATACATCCATCTCATGAAGAGGAAGTATGAAGCCACCGATGAGCCAAACTGACCTATTAAAAATAAAATTAAAAAGTTAGGAGCTTCTGGGTAAGATGGTGTGTAGGCAAATGCGGTACTCAAATCCTCCCACAACCACATCAAATTTATAACTAAACTAGAGAATGACCATCATGCAGAACCATCTGAAATCTAGCTGAATAAAAATCCTACAACTAAGGATTTAAAGAGAAGATACACGGAGATTGGTCAGAGGGGCAGAGACACAGAACAGGCTGGTCCCACACCCACACGTGATGGATAAAAATCAGGAGGGATATATCAGCTGCAGTGGTCGCCCCTGAGGAGCAAAATCTCCTGGCCCCTACCAAGCTTCCAAGCCCAAGGTTCCAGTGCTGGGAAGAGAAGTCCCCTTAATCTCTGGCTGTAAAAACCAGCAGAGATTTTGAGTGAGATTAGGCTTCTGGAGTCCCAAACAGTATCTCTTAAAAAGGCCACACATGGACTTACTAAGACTCACTCCCTGTCCCTCCGAGCTCCAGCACTGGGGCAGCAGCTTGAAAGGAAACAGGGCAAGAGCCGGTCTTGGGGATGTGAGTGCAGCACAGGGAGTATGGTCAATAGTGTCCTAACGGCTGTATGGTGTCAAGTGGGTGCAGGATTTGTTGAGATGATCACTTAGTAAGTTACATCATGTCTGATCACTGGGTGTACACCTGAGGCTAGTATAGTGTGGTTTGTGTGTTTTCAAGGGGAAAAAAAGGGGGGAGAAAAAAATTAAAAAGTTGAAAGGACAGAACAAAAGCTATGTCTTCATAACCTTCCAAAATCACTCTGCTCATTGCAATATAGTACTGGTTCCATTCACACTTACTGTCTCCAGCATTCTTCTTTTTCTATTTGAAAGAGAAGGTGTTAATGATGGAAGTGCTCTCTGTTGTGTAGCTGTAGTTGTCATAAATGATCATGACCTATACCTTATACTCCATCCGAGGAAAAGCTGCTTTTTGTTTAGTAGCTAGGATTGCCATCTGAAGAGCTTAGTTTATTCCTTGAGTTAATATAGTTAAGTGAGCAAATAGTATATGTAAAGTGGTTACGACAGTGCCTGGTCAGTAGTTAGCTATCATTAAAATTATACATATTTGCTGCACTACATCTTCCTTTCTCCCAGGCAACAATACTCTTCTCAAAAAGTTTACCACATCCCTTATAAATGGTTGTCCTGTGCCATAATAGTGGCATTTTACAAGTACAGTGCAAAAGCTAAAGGTCATCCACTTCACACATTTTCCGTCAGGAATTATCTTAGATGTGAAGCACAGTGTCACAGACAGGGCTACTTCTTAATACAACTTACATTTTAGTGAGGTATGAAAACAACAAATATGCAGGAATTTAAAAATTAAAAAAATAAAGAAATATATTTAACATAATCCTATATAATAAAAGCCTACTATGCTATGTCCAATGGGCCAGTCAGCCATTCAACCAATCAAAGCATAATAAGCTAATGATATGCTAAGGCTACCTAACTGCTCGCTATGATGGGCACTGACCGCCAGGGGGCATATGCTCCAACCAGTAGGTTAGCTTGCTGCTGGGGTCCAGCTGATCTAGATGAAGCAAAACGGGCTGGATACACCCTGGAGCCTTCCTGCGGTCCCTCCCTGGCTGGCCAACCTTCTGTATCCCTCCTGGGGGGTCCCTTGGCCTGGCCTGCACCTTCTCACAATCTGGGACCCCTCAAGGGATGTTGGAGAGCTGATTTTGGCCCGATCCCACAGGCCAGGCCAAGGGACCCCACTGGTGCACAGATTCATGCACTGGGCCTCTAGTGTGTGTGTGTGTATATATATATATATATATATATATATATATATATATATATATAATTCTATTGTACATCATATATTATATATATGTATTATATATATTACACATTTTATATATGTGTATGATAATGGATTATATATATAATATATATGGATGTAGCATATATATTATATATAATATGACATACTTATATTACTAGAAAAATTATACCAGATAGGAGGAATAAGTATTGAGAGAGGTTGCTTTAGATAGCTGGTCAGGAAGGTAACATTTGAGCAGAGATCTGAAGCTGGAGGAAGAGGTGGAAACACCCCCAGCTTGGGGATAATAGTTCCTCAAGCAGGGGAACGAGTGAGAACAAATACCATGAGGGAGGCAAGAGCTCAGACAACTGAGGAACGAAACTAAAGCCTGTATGGGAGCACTACGAACAAGAAGTTAGACCCCACTGTGAAGGGCCTCCTAAGGCAAGAGAGAAAGTGAAGATTTATGTCAAATGAGATAAGAAGTCACTGACAGGTGTTAAGCAATGGAGGGAGGGGGCAGTTGTGACATTTAAGAAATCACTTCAGCTCTGGAAATAAACGGAGGGGGTAGGCAAGAATGTTTTGTCAACATGCACCTGCCACAAGCAGCATAGAGTGAAGTGATCTGTTCGATACTTTTGAATGAGCAAAAAATAAATAAAAGCATTCTCTTAAATTAGAGAATAGAAAGGGAAGAGAAAACAGGGACTTGAAGTCTCAGGCTGAGAGTTCACAGAGTTACAAAAGCCAAAGAGTATCTGATTATCATTTAAGGTTCGGCATCCACAGGCTACTTTTCCCTGTCTTCCCAATTCTCATTTTCTGTTGCCCCAAAAGAACAATGAATAGCTCCAGTCACCTGCTGCATCAATCCTGTCCTGTCTCATTCAGCAAAACACCTCCAGGGACCAATGCTCCCCTTGGGCCCTCTGTCTCTGAAACATGTCAGGAGGAGGGAGGTTCGCGTGGAGCAAACTGCAGCCTCTGCTGACTGAGATGAGATGGGGCTCAATGGGAGAGTCATACCTCTATTTTTGGAACTTAGTCTATTCTTTAGGTACCATCTTACTTTTTCCCATAGCCCAGAGGCAGTTTATAAAGAAATTTGAAAGGAAGGTAATATCTGTATAGATGTTTTAAAAGATATCAATTCATTTGTAGTCTGAATATTTGGATTCACTTCACTTTGGAGAGGGGTGTAGAGTTCCAAAATTGTGTTGTTTTCATAAGCTTGTTCCACCTCTCCCCCACTCCCACACCTGCTTTGCAAACAGATGCACTGGCCCAAGTGCAGAAAGGCTGAAGCAGATCCGCCCCTCTCAGGACATCGGATCATTGCTTGGCTCCCAGTGATTTCATATCGTTTCATGGCTCTTATCTACATTCTCTGGTAACTATACCTGAGGAATGCCTCAGCCAGGTTCACTTGTCATGTTTTATTGAAAGCAGTGGACTCTTCCAGCTTGTTGATCGTTACAGTGACTCACTGAATGGAGAATAACTAGGTATCTGGGGTAAGCTCTCCCTTGGAATCACACTTGACATCCTCTGGTGTAGAGTCCCAAGCACAGGATAGGGGCCTTTCTTCCTTCCTCCCTCCCTCCTTCCCTTCCTTCCTTCCCTCCCTCCTTTCTTTCTTCCTTTTGTAGTTTTGGTCTTCTAATTAATACTACACTCTCACCCAGTCCCTAACACATAACCCCTGGCAAATGAGTATAAATATATCTAAAAGTTAAAAAAAAAAAAAAAAAAAAAAAGAGGAGTACATTAAATGTCTCAGAAAGTATCCCCTCTCCTTATAACCCGTATCTATTATAGATAAAATATACTTTAAACTCCAAATCTTCCAAACTCCAGTTCTCAGACTTGAAAGTGGCTCCACGATGATTTTATTTGGGAATAGAGAAGCCATATCTATCTGTTTTCTTTACTGAATCCAAAGTGTAGAGAAAATAACTTGCAGGGAAATCAATTTCATTAAAACCAGAGTAATTGAAGGAAAAACCCAGACACAAGTCAAAAAGACCATAGAATCCAGAAAACAATGTTCCTTCCACATGACACTTACCAATGGCAGAGGGGCAAGAATAACCAAAAAGAAAAAAGAAAAGAAAAAAAAAACAGCTTAAAGGAGAGAAAACGATTCAACTGGTTGGCATTACGTTTCTATAGGACCTTTCCCTATCTCAATGTAAAAATGAAAAAGAAATTTTCTCTCTTTATGTCCCTTTATCCTAGCAGTTCTCTCCTACTGGAGGCTGTTGACAAAAATTGGCATTCACTAAAAACAGAAACCTTAATACAGTATGGCTAAAAGAGCATGATGAAAAAGAACAGCCATTTCCATGTACTTAGTCTCTCAAACAAAACTTACTTATTCTTGTAAAGAATAAGAATGAGTAGTAGTAGTAGTAGTAACTGCTAATATACAGGGTAGGGCAAAGGTAGGTTTACAGTTGTGAATACATGAAAACACAGAGTTTATTATTCAATTATTATTTGTTCATCATTGTATTATTTTACATACAAACAACTATAAACCTTCTTTTGCCCTGAATGTTGATGGTCAATGTTGTATAGTAAGAACTTGATCAGCATCAACTCATTTTACTGCCTCTAGAACTTGGTGAAGTTAAGTATTATTAGTCCTGTGGTGAGGATGGGGAATTAAAAACATACACACAATGGAGGCAATGGAAACAGGTGGGTTGAGGGGGGGGCATATACAAGGCTTTAAAGATCTAAACCTAGGGGATAAAACACAGCTGAAACACAGACATTAAACTGAACCAAGACTTCATTAGTAACAATAATAGCTACCATTTAATAAATCTTTGTTTTAAAGAGCTCTGAGACCTCTGCATGTTAATTCATTTAACCATCATCAACTCCCTGTAAGAAGAAAATATTGTACTCATTTTACAGAGACTTGGGAGCATAGGCTACACAGCTAGTGAATGATGGAGCCAGGTAGTGTTGATTTATATATGTTTGACTCCAAATCTAGATCTCTCTTAGCCACAGTACTATATTACTCCTCAAATAGAATCATAGTTCAATTTTAAAAACTATTATGTATATATAATAAATATGCAATAAATTTGTGTCTGAAAGGATATAGGTAATATCCATTGAGCCGCTAAAGTCAGTCAAATTCGCCCATTTGGATGGTACCCATAAATGACTAATTCTTTTTCTATTTACTATCCTATCTAATAAAAGAGTAATATGCAAATTGCCTATCACTCCAACACACAAGATGGCCACCCCCATGTGATAAAAGATGGCTTCCCCCATGTGGACATAAGATGGCTGCCACAAGATGGCCAGAAGAGGAGGACAGTTGGGGGCAACCAGGCCTGCAGGGGAGAGCACTTTGGGGGGACCTTGGCCTGCAGAGAAGGGTAGTTGGGGGAGACCGGGCCTGCAAGGGAGGGCAGATGGGAGGAACCAGGCCTGCAGGGGAGGGCAGTTGGGGGCTACCAGGTTGGCACTAGTGGGCAGTTAGGGGTGATCAAGCCAGCAAGAAAAGGCAATTAAAGGCAATAGGGCCAGTAGGGAAGCAGTTTAGCGTTGATCAGGCTGACAGGGGAGTGGTTAGGCAGTGATTAGGCAGGCAGGAAGGGCAAGCAGTTTGGGAGCAAGCAATCCTGGATTGTGAGAGGGACATCCGACTGCCTGTTTAAATGAGAAGTCCCAGATTGGAGAGGGTTCAGGCTGGGCTGAGGGACAATCCCCCCCTCCCCACCCTGCATGAATTTCGTGCAGCAGGCCTCTAGTAACTAATAAAATGCTGTTTCTATAATGTATTATTAATAAAGTCTTTAGTATGTATTAATGTAAGGCCTTAGGCTTATGCATATTCTTGTTCCTGAATTTTCTTGTATTTCTTTTAAATAAAGGTTAAAGTTTCAGACTCCCTCTGGTTATTTATTACTAAGGCAAAGCAATTTGTAGTCTGTCATCATGTATAATTTCCTCTTGAACAGATGGGTAATAAGACAAGCAGATAAATTGTGAGCATTTCAAAACTGGAAAATACCAATTAAATCACCTGCTGCATGAGTACAATATAAATGCCATCTCCCTTGGCCAGGATACAAAGTAGTTTCTTTCCAACTGGTCTAGGGATAGGGAGTTAAATGTGGCAAGTTTGTGTTTTCTGGAGCCCTTAAGATAACAAAGAAATTTGAATGAACATTTAAAATCTGTGCTTATGGTTGCCTAACTGAAGATCTTCCCAATCTGAAAAAACAGGCCAATTATACCTTCATTTTGATGCTGAATTCTATTAGAGAGAAGTAGATTTTGATTCTAACTTATAATCTCCAGCTTGAAAGACACTCAATGATTTAATCCATGACTTGAATGGTAATGTTAATGTCACAATGGGTATAGATTATAATTCCCAGGAGTACAAATGTACAGCTTCTTCAGTAAAATGTGCAATACCATGTAGTTAATGATGTGAATTACTTCAGGCAACGCTGGCGTTTTAGGCCTGGTCTCTTTACAAGGCTGACAAGACAGTAAAACTCAATGGCATCCCCATGTGATGTAGAGTTTCACAGCACTCCTTTGTGGTTGGAGTTATCAAATCTATTTTTGTATATTAGAAAAGCTGGTAGTCATCAGGTGAGTACATGGTCCACACTGGTAAACGGGATCCAGATCTTATTGGGGTCAAGAGGGAAGCAGCATACGTTTCAGACTTAATGTGAGTTCCTCTCTTCACAGGCACACACTAGTCATTTAAATGTAAAATCAACGAAAGCAGAGTCTTCTCCTGTGTTGGTCAGCACCGCATCGCTAGTGCCTAGAAACATGCCTGATAATGGGAGGTGCTAAGTGAGTATTTGCTCAATTGACTAATCAGTCAAGTCAAGCTTATTCTGAAGATTAGATGAGGTATTATACATTAGATAATTCTGACTTCAAAGGAGATTAAAATAGTTCTGATCCTTTTGAAAGTGTAAATGGTCATTTCCTTAGAGAAAATTAATTTGTATTAGTTTTATAATATAAAATATATAATTTAAAAATAGGGTACTCGTTTAACCTACATTTTTCTGAAAAGAACTCACAGAAAAAGTTAATTATGAAGTCTCTCAATATAAATCTGCTTTCCATTTAACAATTTCAATCATTTGCATTCAAAAGTATAAAGAATGTCATGTGCTTGCATATATATCTAAAACTGATAGTAATTTATAAAGTCATAGAATCTTGAGTTGAACAAGGCCTTGGGTAGTAACTAGTTAAACTGAATTTTGTGAAAATTTGGAATTTTGTGAACTCCAAATAGAGGAACAGAGAGCCAGAGATATAAAAGGATTGCCCAAACAACAGAGTCAATAGGTCAAAAGACTTGAACTTTTAGAAAAACAATTCCAAGTTCCACTTCCTCCATGCAGGTCAGCTTCAAACACCATTGCAGACACATGCTTTCCCTCTTTGGTAGGCTATTTTCTGTGAGATGGTGAGTCCAACCCAATGACTCTGCCAGTATATTCCTAGAAAGGTTTCAGACTTTTCAACTATCATTAAAATCACAGTATTATTGGAATCTTACAAAATGTGAAATGTATAAGTAAATAACTAACTGTCTTAAAAAATAAATACTTGATAATACTTATTATGGAAAATAATGCCCCAAATAGAATAACTATTAAATAAATCTACAACTACTCATCATATATAGACCTGGTAGAATTGCAACACCAGTGAGCATGGCATTCTTATTTAGGGCTGAAACCTGCTCTATCATTAATTATAAATATCTTGGGATACATCTCATAACTGATCAAGATTCAACCCTATCATTTTCAGAATTGAGTAGACTGTGGCCCAGAGGGATTAAATAACTGGCTCAGTCAGTGCCAACAGCTAATCTATGGCAAAGCAAGAACAAAACTGTAGTAGGATCTTAAGGTACCATATTTTAGCTGCACAGTTAAAACCTCATGAATCCACGATGTCTCAATTTTTTTTAATGTATCTTAATTCCTTCAATTTCATAAAATGGTAGATATTTGGAGAGTTTGTTGATATATAATTTTACTCAACACATATTTATTAAGGCCAAACATGTTCTAGGCCTGGTGATGCAAGAGTGAATAAAACAAAATCTTTGCTCTCCTGTCTTGCAGAAGAAATGGATGCAAGTAAAATAAAACAAAATTATATTAAACATTCAATCAAAAGACAGAATTTGAGATCATTGTAAATGTTGAGGGAAATAAAGCAGAAAGGGATGGTACAGAAAATATGTTGGAGGGAGTGTAATTATTGAGCTGATATATTTTAATTCATTGCCATTTGCTAGCGAGAGATTGAGGGCGGGGAATAGTAACTCCGAAAGTGTGCACAATTGTGTCAGTGAAGCATCCAGCAACTGTGCTATCTCCTTGTGGAGGCCCCGTTTTAATAATGCAATGCCACATTTACCCAGCGGAAAACCAAGGCAAGGGAAATTCAGGTCCTACTCAAAACCTTTAGAAACCAGAATATGGCAAGATTGTACTCAAAACTGGTTTGGCCCAGTGGAAGAGCATCAGCCTGCGAACTGAGGGATCCTGGGTTCAATTTCAGTCAAGGGCACATGCCTGGGTTGTGGGCTCCAACCCCAGTAGGGGGGCATTCAGGAGGTAGCCAATCAATGGTTCTCTCTCATAATTGATGTTTCTATCTCTCTCTCCCCTTCCCTTCCTCTCTGAAATCAGTAAAAATATTTTTTGAAAAAATGGTATCCCTTTTTCTTTATATTCTTTGTTTTTAAAAATAATTTATTATTATATTTACAATATATATATATATTTATTTTAGTTGCCTTATTATAAGCTTGAGAATTGTTCTAAATAGGTTTTTATTTGAGTACTAAGAGCCCAGCACACAATTTGAAATCACACAGCACCACCCACCCTCGAGTTGCCTGTCTGGCCCTGTCTAGCTCCCTGGGCCCCGCACCAGCTCCACCCACTGCTGATCTGGCCCTGCCTCCCTCTCTGGCCCTTGAAGCAGCCATGGCTGCCACTGTCCTGCCCCCAATGCTATGCCCAACCTCCTCCTATCTGGTCAACCCTTTATGGTGTCTGAGTTAATTAGCATATTTCTCTATTTTATATATATAACAAAATATATACACTATGAATATTGTATAAAAATGAAGACATAATATGATATTCAGATAGCAAGTTCCTGGATGATTATTGCTTATTCTATTTTATAGGTTTGAAAATGAGGCTCTAAGAGTTCTTCATTCATTTTAGACATTCATTTTAATTATTGTCTAACATGGGTGTATATATATTTTTCATTGTCATGTTCATTGCCCAAGTAAAATCTCTGCCTTCCCATGATATGACTCGATGTCGTTGTGTACAATAATGACTTTCCTGTGTAGGAGAAAGAACAAAGTCAGAAGGAGGATATTCTGGTAAGAAGGGAGAGTGGGCTCTTCAGTGCTGTGATGGGTAAATACTAGTAAGTCTTCACAGTGAGCAAAAAAGATGTAAAATGAAGGTTTATTTATTTATTTTCTTTATGTGCCTGTGAGTTGTACAGGCACATAAAGCCCACTAAGAAAGGCATCTGATAAGCTTAGGAGACATTTATCTAGGACAACCTTCCCATCTGAGATCTGTTGAGTACTTACTTTCAATTGCTTTGATTTTATTTTCCCATGGGACACAAGCAGCTTTAAAGTTCTCAAAATCGCGGAGAAATTTGACCCATTTCTGAAAAGGAAGCAAAGAACATCAAGAAAGCTTAACCTCTTGTTTGTTAAAATGTTCATCCCCAATCCTATCCCCAAATCTCACAAAACACTGAGCTTGGAAAGAGCTCTCTGGCACAATATGTTGCTGCTTGATAAAAAAAAAAAAAAAAAAAAAAAAAAAAAGGCAAACAGTACTTGCCTTCCTGCTCTCCTCTCTCCTCCAGACCAATTTAGTTCAAAATTTTTCATGGATCCTTCTTTTACAGAATAAGTGCTTAAAAATACCTGTTTATTATGCTGGACATAAGAGAGCAGGGAGTGATTTTGCATCTAATAAGGTGATCAGCAAATGGTATCGACTAATCAAATAAATATTCATTGCATGAAGAAATTAATGAAATATGAGTAAGACATAGATCGTGTCTTGAAGGTCTTCTGGGTCTATTAGGATATACTGTATAAAACAGGAAAGTTCAATGCAGGACGATAAGTATTGAACAGGGACATTTCACTTTGGGAGAGGTAGAGCAGCAGGCTAAATGGAAAGTTATGGTGTCCTAGGAAAGGGAAGAAGAAGAAAAAGCCTTGAATTTGTTTTTATAAAAGAATTTCCTCCCACTTTACCCCATAATGTTGGGCCATCCGGAGAATTGCTTGGAAGAATGGGGGCAGATAACTTGGCATGTGTGTACATTATGCTGGATAATGTGTGAGTTGCACAGGTAAATAAAGCCCACATATCAATATGAGGCAAGTCTGATGTTCAAAGATTACTTAAATGAGAAACATCCCAAATGTCCATCTACAATAGAATGGATAAATAAATTGTGGCCTCTTCATACAATGGAAAATAACATGTCAATAAAAATAAACTATAATTCCTGCAACATGGATGTATCTCATGAATATAACATTGCATTAAAAAAAAACCAGAAACAAAAGCATAAATATTATATGATTTCATTTGCTTAAACTGTAAAAACAACAAAACTAACCTATGACATATATATGTATATGTAATAAAAATATATATATACTTTATTCACAAAACATCTTTATGAAAATATATTTAGCTTATTTGTAAAGAGGAAATAATAGTACCATGTACCAAACTTGCTGTGATAATTAAATTTAAATATAATTTTATAGAAGGATTTAATTCAGGGCTGGGCATATAGTAAATACTAAATATTAGTTTCTCTTCTATATTTTCCAAAAATCCATATTTCGTTGGTATATCATTTATATTTTTTTTAATTTACTATCCACTTCACACAGTTTATGCTCATGGTAGAGAAGAGCTACATATATGGTTCTATTACTTGTAGACATTTTGAGACAGAAATTTTGACCCTGAAACCCTTAACTACCAGGTAATGAAAATCAAAGATACATTCTTTTACATTTGGGAGTTGATAAAATTACACAAGTAAATATTTTGCCATGAGTCAATGTTTCTGAACTTATTTTTCAATTTCACTCCTCTAAGGGCACTTTCAGGATTTTTTTTTCTTTCTGAATCACTCCTCCAATCCAAGGTCTAATATCACAGAAATAGTGTATATGCGCTGTGTATGGATATGTGCTGTAAACATACATAGCATACTTTTTTTCTCTTTTTCTCAGAACAGTCAATTTTTCCCCCTTTACAACTCAATATGGCCTCCATTGAAAATATATAGCATCAACCAGACTGAGTTATGAAAATGCGTACCTTGGCCATCATCATCTTAAATGCAAACCACCGCTTTCCTTTTCCTTTCCCAAGAGCTCCTTCATTCTCACTCACAAATTTCTTTGCTTCCCTAAGAAAATAAAACAAAATAAGGGATAGGTGGAGCTGGATGGAGATTAATAGAATATAGTGAAAATTTAATTTTATTAATTTTTCAATCTTATTTCTTCCAAACCCTCAACAAGTGAATTTAAGCTGTATTTCATAACCTAGGAACTTGCAATGGATAGTTAAGATTTTTAAATTTTTTCCAATAAGAATAAGATAGTTTGTACTGGCTTATTTATCAGCTGAAGTCATTGAAAAGCAAAGAATTTATACTAAATGTCAAAATAGAGAACCCAAGCTCTTCTCATTTCTACCACATATAAAATTGAATCTGAACTTTATTTTAGATTTTGGCAGTCAAAATGTTTATTTTAAAATACTTTCTTTCCTTCTTTTTTAAGGGTTATAATTAAAAAAAAAAAAATAGGGCAGAGAGCTTAGGACAAACTGACATGCAACATATTTATTGACCTGGTATTTAATCTTGTAAAAGCAATCACAACTTAAAATAGAAAATTCACATTATGTAAAGCAATGTGATTGAAGGAAGAGGAAAATGGGAAGGAATTCTTTTTAGCCCTGCATTTAGGATGGGCTTCAAATTCATACTTTATCATCATTATCAAATATTTATACATTTACAGTAGTTATATTAGTGTCTTTGTATATATGTTAAAAGACACTTATCATAATGGTTAATATAAACATACTAGAGGCTTGGTGCATGGATTTGTGCACTGGTGGGGTCCCTTTGCCTGCCTGTGGGAATCAGGCTGAAACCAGCTCTCTGACATCCCCCAAGGGGCCCTGTATTGTGAGGGGGTGCAGGCAAGGCCGAGGGACCCCACCAGTGCATGATCGGGGCCAGGGAAGGACCACAGGTAGGCTCCAAGGCATGACTGGCCTTTCTTGCCCAGTCCTTATCAGCAAGATCCCAAGAGCAAGCTAATCTACTGGTTGGAGTGTCTGCACCCTGGTGGTCAGTGCACATCATAGCAACTGGTCAAACAGTTGAATGAACAGTTGGACACTTAGCATATTAGGCTTTTATTATATAGGATTGAAAATGTACAATATTTGTAACTTTGGTCAATTTTGTTATTGTTGTTTATTTGATATGTGAAAAATCTTTATAAAATAGAGGTGGGCCAGGTTTATTTTGATGTCACAGGGTCCATAGAGATAAGCCAGATCTGGATTGTGATCATACAGGTACAATGCTATTGTCAGCTGAATGGCCCTTGGAATATGCAGTTTTACAGATAAGACCATTCAACACATGGCTATAAATAAAATAAATAAACTTATTAACAAACCCTTTACCGTAGTTACTGTGTGGCCTTCAACAGGTCAGAATTCCCCAACAAACAGATAAAAATCAGGCAACTGCTTCCCTCCCTGCTTGCCAGGATGGTGGCAAGAATAAGGTAAGATCACAGATGTAAACAGTTTGAAGGGTTTATTATACAGTCAATCTTACAGTAATGTTTGTTTGAAACTGCAAATTTATTCTGGTATGATTGATAGATTATGGAACAATTTGAGCGTAACACAAAATTTTGTTTGCTTATATGTGATTTTATTTTTTTAAAAAAACAAAAAACAAACACACACACACACACACACAGAGAGAGAGAGAGAGAGAGAGAGAGAGAGAGAGAGAGAGAGAGAGAGAGAGAGAGAAAGAGAGAGAGAGAGAGAAAGAGAGAGAGAGAGAATGCCGAAAATTGCATCCAGCTAAACCTACCAGTGTAAGAATAAACAAAATGCACACACCTAATCTACCAGCTCCCTGACTGTACCATCTAATTTAACAAAACCACATCCATTCACAGCTGGTGCTACAATGACCCTCTTTCCACACTTTACAGTAACACAAATTGCAACCCTGCTTAAAGCATTTCAACAGCAAACTGCAGGTCTTTTTCTAGGTAAGCTGCCACATTTATTGTTGCATTTATGTATTTCTTAACCATTTAGCATGTGTAAAATGTTGCTGTCATTTTTACATCTATCTTTCTGTGTGTCACTGAAGACATTTCTAAGTATTGTACCCCTCTTCCCATTTTTTCTATAAACGCTATGGTTTTCATTGCCTGATTTTGCATATTGTAGTGATTTTTAGGAATCCATGCATCATATTATATAGCAGAATTGACTATAATTCAATTACTTGGCATCAAGAATTTTTAAATTCATAAAACCAGTTATACATAGGAATTATCACATCATTCTCTATTATAATAAACACATAAGTAGCAAATCAAAAAGTCTTCTTAGTAAAGCTTGCTTTTCAAATGTCAAGTCCCTATTTCATGGGTGTATTCACTACTCTAGATGCTTTCCAGATAATTGAAAAGAAACTCAGTTTGGCCTATTACAATTCTATTACTAGATGATTGGCTGGTTAGAAAACTAGACTTCTCCAGACAGCCGGAACTATAAAGAAAAGGCTATTCTACTCTATATTTCTGATAAGATTTTTAATTGTGAGCTGATGATTATGATACAGAAACAACTGTTATGATTTAAGAGAGAAAGAGGAAGGTCAGGGTTATAACCATATTAAAATCACCAGAAAATTACTTATAAATTCATTTAATAATATAGAAACTTATTTACATGGTAGTCATTGGATTTGTCATTTATTACGAACATGATTTTCCTTTGAACAATCTAAATGAGATTTTATTAACTATCTCCAATTCCCAAGTTGTCCTGATGTTAGGCATAGTTTCATATTTCCTAGTGACTGCCCTCAATATAAAAGTCTGGATTTCACTCTACTCCACATAATCTCAGGTATGAATTTCTTCTCTTCCTTGATGTCCTAACTCCTCCTCCATTCTTCAAGAGGTCTGCCCCGAAATTTAATTCAAAAGGGATCCCTGAATAGCCCTTCTACCTCCCCCTGTTCCCCACTGCTCATCCTGGCCAACATAACTGCTAGTCTCAATTCATTAGGAATCTGGGTAATGACTTTAAAACAAAGTCAGCAGCCATGGGTGGGTAGAGAGTTAAGTGTTTAGTGAGAACAGGCTCTTGATTTCCCTAATTTGATGCCTTGGGATGTAAGGAAGCACTCTTGCTGCTCGAAGGCTTAGAAGAAAGAACGCTGGACTGCATGTGGTCAGTGACTCAAGGAGAGAGCATGCCTTTGTTCTTTGCAATGAGCTGGCATGATGTCAAGATGAAGAAAACCAGCCTCACCCAACCCCTAATCCCTGATAACAGATTTCTTCAACAGAAGACATCTTTCATTGTGCTATTAGAAGAAAAATGCAAAAAGAAACTATCCAAAATGGAGATAATCAATGACTGGTATTTATCATGACATATCAGAAAGCAAGAAAAGAAAGTGCAGTGTCTTTAAAAAATTAAAAAGCAACATTTCTTCATATTTTTCTCATAGTTAATCCATTTTCCTACCATTTTATATTTATCTAGATAACTTAAAGTGATTTTTCCACATGGCTAAAATTGAAGTAAACTTTTGTGGATAAGTTTTGAATACCTGTTGGCCTCACACCATTCAAATTTCTGACTGAAAAATGTGTGTCATCCCCTTGAACTGCATTCAACAAAAGCAACCTGCCAAGACTATAAGCTGGTCTCCAGGTCTCAGAGCTCAAGCAAGCACTGGTATAATATGCATAGCTTTCTGGGCTGTAACCCCAGACCCAGGGATAAATAATTGAGCGAGGTCTATTTAATGACAATGATACCTGGCCTCATAATTCATTTATCAGCTGCTCCTGTTGGTAATTAGAATAATAAGGTTTCATGGGCTTTCAAGAATGCTTTCACAGTTAGGTGAAGGAGCACACTTTGGCCTAACTTACAAAATAGATAATTTACCCATAACACATGATACAACCCTGACTGCCCAGGGGAATTAGGGCTTGCTAAATTGCCTTTGATACATTCTCATCCCAGGAAACATATTCCCTGTTTGGGCTCCATTAAGTTGACTTTTCTTTCCTCTTGTTTTCAGTTTAATAGTATGACTGAGCAATCCATTTGTTGCTGAGTACATGAAAGACATTTCAAACTTGTCTTTAAAGAAACTGTAATCAAAACTTGTATTCTTGAACACTTCCCAGAAAAGGGATAAGAAGAGAAGTCTTTTATTAATAAGCACATTTGTAAAGTTATATGAGTTCCCTGTAAATGCTGGAGATTAAACCCTTAGGAGATAACATTGGCATATATGTTCTCCCATGCAGTGGGTTTTCTTGTTCTTTTGTTGATGGTTTCTTTTGCTGTGCAGAAGATATTTATTTTTATGTAGTCCCATTTGTTTATTTCCTCAATTTCCATTGTCCTGGGAGCTGTATCTAGAAAGATATTGCTATGACATATTCTGATATTTTGCTACCTGTGGTTTCCTTTAAGACTTTTATTGTTTCCCATCTTATGTTTAAGTCCTTTATCCATTTTGAGTTTATTTTTGTGTATGGTGTAAGTTGGTGGTCAAGTTTCATTTTTTTGCATGTATCTGTCCAATTTTCCCAACACCATTTATTAAAGAGACTGTCTTGACTCCATTGTTCATCTTTGTTCTTCTTTCTCAGGATTGCGGTGGTTATTTGGGGTCTTTTTTTATTCCATATGATTTTGGGAGCGTTTGTTCTAGGTCTGTTATATAAGCCATTGTTATTTTAATGGGCATTGCATTGAATCTATAGATTGATTTGGGTAGTATGAACATTTTAATGATGTTGATTTTACCAATCCATGAAAATGGTATATTCTTCCATTTGTTTATGTCTTCCTCTATTTCTTCTTTTAATGTCCTGTCATTTTCCAAATACAGGTCTTTTACCTCCTTAGTTAAGTTTCTTGATTTTTTTGTTGCAATGGTAAATAGGAATTTTTAAAAATTATTGGTGTATAAAAAAGCCATACATTACTGGCTTAATGTTGTATCCTGCTACATTGCTAAATTCATTTATTAATTCTAATAGTTTTTTATGGAGTTTTTAGGGTTTTCTATGTACAATGACATGTCATCTGCAAATA